TTTTTTTTTTTTTTAAATTAAGTTATTACAATAATTACTTATTATATTCTATATGTTATCGTGATTAAAAATGTTTTCTACTGTCGAAAGTTTACGATTCGTTTTAAAAGAAATTTAAGCCGAATAATAATAATAATAATAATAACAAACAAAATCCAGACAAAATGAATTTTTGTGCCAGAACTTAAGAAAAACATCTGACAAAATATAAACCTATTAATCATAATATATTATTTTCATTTCATTAAGAAGGAAAAATAATTCGAATGTAAATAAATAAAAATGAAAACAAAACTTAATATATTCGCTAAAATTAAAACACACGAAAGACATTAGATTTTACTACATTATTATTAATAAATTGGGACTAATCTGAAATAATTACTCTGATAACTACGATGATAGAGATAAATTCTCGTTTCCTCTTTCAATTTTTTTAAGCCATTAAATGACTAAAAATTTATCTGATTAATATATTCAAGTATAATAATAATTTCGAAAATTCAGATTTTATTTAGACGTTAGAAAGTTTAAATTATATTAAATAATTATCAATATTTTGCATTTTAATCAATGTAAATTTAATAATTACAATGTAAAATAGCTTTTTATGTATGCACAGGTAGTATATATACACACATATAATACAATATCTGTACACAAAATGTACTGTACAGAATACTTTTTGTTACCAATTAATAACACAAAGTTCTATCAATTTATGTATGTTTTGTTAAACAAGTATTTTAATATAAATGACAAATAACGAAACATATAAAAAAATGTTTTAATCAAAATAAACTTTGAATTATTAAAATTCTTATATTAAATTTTCCAAATCGATAAATAATACGAATTAAATTATCGTAGTTATAAATTTATATCTTGATCTTGAAGGTATTAAATTAAAAAAAAAAAAAAACACCAGTCAAATATCATCATCGATATAACAGTAATAATGTAAACATAACTGGCAGATTTACATTATAACACTTACCGTTTGGTAGATTAGCAATGCTCCAAATAGAATCATTTCCAATTTCACCCATCTTGCACTCGCAACAATCTGCGAAAAAATATACGTCAGAAATTCTTTTCATACCGAAATTCCAGGCTTGTTAATAATAGAAACTAGTAATGGAAATAGTCAAATACGACAACAGTAAGCGACCACAATTCTTTGATTAAAAAAAAAAAAGAAAAAAAGAAAAAGAAACTCGAGAGATCGAATGGAATCGTGACACAATGAAAGGAGCACTATCTAACTGGATTATTCATTGAGAATCATTCAGTCGCATTCGCTTCAAAAATCATGATTTATGCTGTTACTTTTCAGATTCTTAAATAAGAATATATATATAAATTTATATATAAATAAAACTCTATAAAAAAGTGAATGCTTATGTCTGTGAAAAGCCTTAATTGCTAGGCTTTTGTTTTGCCATTTATTAGTAGCGTAAGGAGGGTGTTTTTAAGAACAAAATTTATTTAGTTATCTACATAAATAATACCTTAAATACTACTAAAAATATACTATATAAATAATAAATAGAATGTAAAGTTTTAAAATTTACAATTTTTACATTTAAATATGTATACATAAAATGACGATTGAATAAGTTTTATTTCATATAAAGTTTTTCTTTCTTATAAAATTTCTTAAATATAACAATATATATTAATATAGTATATAAATTTTATATTTTAAATAATTATTTATTATAAAAATATATTAAATTTAAGCAGAAAATATAAGAAAAATACTTAAAATAATAAACGATTCTAAAATATAATAATTATGCTATTTAAAAACACGTAAATTAATATACGCTTATAATTAGACACTGTCAAAATAAATATTTTTAGTATTTGTTATAATAAAAAATAAAAAAAATAAAAGTATACTTGACATTAACTGTTTGAAGATATGTCTAAGAAAGTAATTTTAGCAAGACATGCAACGTAGGACGAAGAAATTCGCAAAGAAAGTTAGCTTAATGAACTTTTAAATTTGGGAAAAGTTTCAATTTCGAAGAAGTGAGAGAGATAAAAATGGCCGTCCTTCTTTTAGCCATCCGACTATTTACATACTTTAACAAAAACATTATAAACAGAAGAATTTCTAATAAAAGGCGATTGCTTTTCTAAATTTTCATTTGAAAATTTTAATTTTTTTTTTAAAATCGTATTGCTGATTTAAACTGATGGATGCCTAAGAAAATAATAATTCATACAGTATACGACGAATGAAATCATAATAAAACTTAATTCAATAATGAATTACAAGTTTAAAACTTAAGATTTATTAGTTTTAGACTTACGTAAATCTATTAAAAAAATAATACAGTTTATGTTATCTTCAGTAAAGTTAAATAAAATCAATATATCAATCATGAAATCCATATACAACTTTACAGTAAAATGTCTAGTTTTTTATTGTTATTTTCTAGTTTTGATTTCTTTATAATATTCACAAGCATTATTTAAATTGGTTAAATGTAAAAAAACCCTTAAATTCCTATTTTTCTATATTATTAAATAAAAATTAGTGTTATATCTCTTAAAGAATTGATGTCACAGATAAAGATTTAAAAGCTAAAAATTTTCTAAAAACAACTGGATGTCATAAGCATATATTAAAAAATGTAAATATATAAGATGACCTCCTTATTAATACTAATAGACTACTAAATTTTCTTCTAGTTTTTAATAAAATACACTTCCATTTACAATTGTATCAGTAAGAAATTAAAATCAAGCAGTTATGAATCTGATATTCATTAATCAAATTGCGAAAATGCTGAAGTACCGGTAGTTTAATTACACTAATTTAAAGAGTCTATAATTAACATTCATATCGGTAATAGAAGTTATAAAATAACTACCGATTTACTTTAAATACTTTTAATATAAATAATAATAATAATAAATACTCACTTTTGATTTTCTCAAACGAAATATGACTATAGCCAGTACAATAGTTACGGTGGTACAAAAGCTCTGAAATCCAAGCGCTAAACTTCTGAGTATCATATTATATTCAACAAAACACGGCGATGCATCTATACAGCTTTCACAACCGATTTTACAAGGTAAACATCGGAAATCATCGGGGTACATTCCAAATTCTTCTTCCTCCTGCAGCTGGTTGGCAACGAATGCGGATTCCAAAAGAAGTCCATTGAAGCCGGATACTTGGCTCAAGTTACTAGATCCTTCGGAAGGAAAGTAAAAGCCTCTTCGGCATTGGCATTCATAACCACCTCTTCGAAAGCCAAAACCGCTAATGGGTACACACTGAAAGAGAGAGAGAGAGAGATGCTTTTCTAAATCGTTTGAGCAGTTATAACAGATTAAAATAATTTTTTTTTTATATATACATTTAATAACTACATTAAACACAATTCAGATAAAATATCGCTTAAAATTTTATATTTTATAATAAAAAGAAGTTTCTTTATACAGAGATAAAATCGAATTACATGCAATTGTTTATAAAACATCTTTTATTTTTTTTTACTCTAAAACAGTAAATTAAAATAATTTAATTGTTTTTCCTTCTGTCACAATAAATCAGTTATATAAATAAATTTGATTTAATCTGTATTTCATAAAGCAGGTTTTGTTTTTAATACGTAAAAATATGGTAAAATAGACCTTCAGAGTTTAAAGAAATGCTTAAATTTAAAACATTTCTTCTATTTTTATCCACAGAAGAAAATTTTCGAAGAATATTAAATGGAGTAATTTATTTTTCAATTTTCTATTTCATTTTTCTAGTTCTGCTTATTAGAGAAGATAAGAGATCCATTTATCAGTATTAGTATATATAGACAATAAAGATAAATTGCATTATTGAAGAATCTAAAAGAAGTAAAATTAATCCTATTTATAAAATTCTATCCGAAATAACTGGTAAATTGCTTCGTTTTAAACTTTTTATAGGCCTGTATGTAAATAAATTATTTGTAAATGCTAATATTATAAAAATTATCAATCGAATAATTTCAAATACATAGGCATATATTAAAGAACAACAACTAAAATTAATAGTATTGAAATTACATAACAAAGTATATTACTTCATGATTTTAAATAGAGCCATCGATAGATCGAGGCAAGAGGGGAGCGAGCTACTTTTGTCATTTATTTTTGAATTATTTAGAAGAGTCTATCATTTTATACAGAATATTTCAAAGATCGTATGACGAGATTAATAAGTTTTTAAATAAATTATGCTGATAAAAGTTTTATATTCCATTTGCTGTTCTGAATAATTGCTATCGACATTTCTTGCACAGTAGTTTTAACAAGTCGCATCGAGTTTCCTTTCGTTTATTTTAAACTTTAATATGAAAAGAATTCATTTCTAAACTCTAGATACTATTGACAATAAATAGAATTGTATACATTTGATACTTTATCTATGTTATATATACAGTAATAAGTTTGATTTACTATAACTCTGCAACGAGATTTTTTAACAATATAAATTGATTTAACTTAACTTTAAGGATAAACATCAAATGTACTCGATCAGTGAAAAATAACGAGATCGAAAAACTGCCAAAAAAGATACAGCACACAAACTATCCATAATACATTTTTTTCTTCTTATACAGAAGTCCTTGAGATTTTCGTGAACTTCTCTATTAATATTATTCGCAAAATTTTTTTTTATTGTTATTATTTCAAACTTACACACGCAATATATATATATATATATA